TTTTTTTTTTTTGATTTAAAATTATAAATGTCAGCAAGAATTTGTTTTTTATTATATAAAAGATTTATAACTGTTTCAGAAATAAAAACTATGATTTATTTACTGCTGCCAACTAGGCAACAAAGCCTGCTTTGTCCCTAACAATTTCACCGTGTTCTGATGAAGTAATCAAGACTATTTGGGTGTTAAAGAAAAACGTACCTAACGGAGATGTATACAGTGGTTTAGGAATCTGAAAAGCAATTTAATAAATTTATATAAACAAAAAAAAATTTTATGATTTGTTGACAATTAATTACAGCAAAATAAACTTTTATTAGTGTCATCTTCGCTGGTCAAACACTAATACTTTTCAAGTTTTGTTTTTTGATCAAAAGGTAAAATTGCTTTCAGCAGTGATGCCAAATACTGATCAAATTCTAATAGAATAAGTTCTGATATTTATAGATTAAAGCAGTTACAAAGTTTATTTTTCTCATCTTTTTTTCTAATAACACTTTGATTGCTTTACGTTAAATGTGTTCTAACTTTTATTTTTTTGCTTTTTTGTTAAAGAAATTATGATTAATTTACTGGTTTATTAGTAAAATCCTTCTTGCAAACTGCACCTTTAAATGTTTTACCTGTACAGTCACCTTGAGCCACATACGAATCTGAAAACAATTTTCAGTCAACGCCTAGTTAACAATACTGCTTTAATAATTGTTCAAAAAAGGAAAAAAAGAAAAAATAGCAAGAAAATTTGTTTTTTTTTGATAAAAAGTTTTTGTTAGACTGATTAAAGATTAAGGAAAAAAAGATCCTTTTTCTGGCATAAACTTACATCCAAACGGTGTATTTTCTGCGCGTTTCACGAAAAAGCAACTACGTTCATTGCATATCAATGGTTTTTGAACTTCATTAAAGATAAAGTTTGTAGATGACTGATCCATAAAATATGCTTTATTATCACTGGTACATCGCAAACCAAAAAACACTTCTTCTAGTGACATATCGTCCTGTTCTGTTAACATAAATGCATCTGTAACAAAAAATTTTTTGTAGTAAACTAACTGCTTGTTGGGCAAATAAACAACAGAACCAAAGAAACCGAATTTGATAATGATATTTGAACAAAATTTCTGTAATTTAAAAGCGTAGGTAAAAAGAGGTAGATCACTTCTGATACTAAAACTGAAACGGTACATTAAATGCGAATGCCATAAGGTGAAGTCGATTCAGCTTTTTCTGACGTAATCAAAAAAAATTTTTTAGTTTTTGGTTTTACCAAAAATACAAACATAATGATGATTACTCCTGTTTTTTTTCACAAGTTCTGCCTGAAAATTTTTTAAAATAGATCACTGTTTTGTAACTGTAGAATAAAAGTCAGTTTTATTATTCCCCGCAAAACAGTTGATTTTGAACCGCATACATTTTTCGTTCTATTTGCGCTCTAATCAAACTAAAAATTCTGGGTAAAATAACACAAAAAAAATAAAAATGGAAAATTTGATATCTTTAATTAACTTTAAGTCTTCAAGCTTTTGTTTGCTTACTTAAAAAGACTTGAAACTGAAGAAGCAACAGAGACATATCACCGCATTCCCACAACAAAACTTACAGTTTTTCCATATTATTATCATTTGTTGATTATAATGGTGATAAGTGTCATCTTAAATTTCAAATGTTAATCGAAGTATAATACGAAAAATTTACGGAGAACATAATACGCTTCGAAACTATCAACAAGCGACAATTCAGAAAAGCCGTATTTTTCACATTGTTTGAGATCGTCCGGGAATACTGCTGTCTGAAAAAAACAGTGTCTGTCAGAAAGCAGACGCAACAATAGGCAAAAACAGATTAATAAACGACAGTGTAGAAAAAGCATAGAACGATTTAAGGTGGAACTTGAATCTGTTCTTACATTCGAAATTCTTGTATAGCAATAAACCTTCGCCTGGTTATTATCAGTTAATAAAAAACCTTTCCCGTTCAGACATGTTCCATTATAAACTGAAAAATTTTTCCCGAACCATTGAAATAACTTTTGAAAATATGCTAGAATTTCTCTAAATAACAGTATCTATTTCACTAAAAAATTAATATCTGTGTCAAGGACGCTGCTGTTGCTTACAAGTAAAAGGTTTTTCTGCCGTTAACAAAGCCAAAAAGCTAACAGATTTAATGAAATGAAATCTTAGTAGAGCCAATCAAAATTTTTCAGTGGTTTAATAGTAAAGCTGTACATCAAAGAATTTATGTAGGTTAGAAACTTATCTAAAACTCAAGTTTTTTTTAACACTAAAGAGAAAAGACCAATGTTTTTAGCAGCACCATCCCTTTCTTTTTATCACAGTTCTGCAAGACAGCAGAAAAAAACAAATGGAATAAAGCATCAAAAATAAGAAAATTTGGTTTTTTTCTGATACTTTTCAAAACACCAATGTACAAAACTTTTTTAATAAGTTATAAAATTTTCCAGAAAAGGTTTTTCATAAATAATAGGTGAATTTCCTAAGAAAAATAAAATAATTTGGCTCTTTTGAGATAAAAAGTTTACAGTTCATTTGTGCATGTTTCTGTTCACTTTCTTGAGTAAAATTATGGCCAATAAAAGTTGTTATAATTTTGCTTGAAAAAATGCAAATAAAAAGATCAGTCCACTGAGTTCATAAATCTTGATAAAATGTCATCAAAAATATGTAAACAGCTCAGCAAAAATTTGTTCAAATTCGGCTAAGCACCTATGCTTACAGATCATTATTTCGTTGACAACGTTCATAAAAAGAATTTGTTATTTCCTATTTCCTTTGTCTACAATTTGCAGCTATACTTCACTGTTTTACGAGGTTTCTTCGTTAACTTCCTTTTCCTTCGTCTTTGTTCAATAAGTTTTTGAAAAAAAGAACAGAAATAGTATACATTAACTAATAAGTCTTTGAATCAAATAAATTATGTTCGTTAACACTTTTGTGAAATTATAGGCTACGAAGAAAAAGTAAATAAATGATAATGGGTATCTTTAAATAACTATAAAATGTCTGTAACTTACAAAAAGCAACAGACGAAGTAAAGATTGAAGATAGAGAAATTAAAAATTTTGTAACTGACAACCGCATATGCAACTTTTTTTATGTATAATTATTGAAATTTTTTGAACAAGTGAATTTTTTGTTTTTATTTTTTATTTTGCCTCTGTTTTCTTTTTGTCCGCTTTTTGCTCTTCTGCCGAATTTTTTGGTAATAACAACTATGACGACAATAATCACAACACAGTAACTGTTGCAGTGATTGAAAATCTAGAAGGCGGAAAAATATTCTGATGTTAATAAACTGTGTTTTTCAGGGGTCTGTTTATAACAATTTCATTGGTTAGATGTCCATTGCTGATGGAAGGACGATGCTTCAAATATCTCAGCTGGAGCAAGTCTTCTAGTTCCGACTGCGTATTCAGCAGATGCCTTATGCTTTTTTAAGCTACAGTAAACTGCCAGCGCCTGTTGCTGACGCCTCTTACCTACAGGCAAAAATTTATTTTTTACAGTACCAATGCTATATTTATTTTCATTCTTCACACTTCTATGAAAACATTTACAAAATTTTTTGCACATTCTAAACAATAAATTGAAACAGCAAAAAGTTTCCAATTTTTAATTAATTGTATTGAAACAGTCTTATCCAGTATCCGCCTTGAGTTAGCATTTTTGCCTATATATATATATATATATATATATATATATATATATATAATATATATATATATATATATATATATATATATATATATAAAAGAACATTTGCGTCAGATTGTTGTAAATATTTGAAAAACAATAATCAGACAATACAACAGAATATCATTTGTAAGATGGCACAATGAAATACAGTGATGTAAGTATAAAAACTCGAAAAAGTGTAATACCCGTAAAAATATTTTTAAAAAAAAACTAATTTTTTGCAGACAGTTGCATAAAACTCCTCCTAACAAGTAAAACAAAAGTGATAAAAATTAAAAAAAAAAAGAGTTTTTTTTTTGTTTTAGTTTTTTATCAATAACAAATAGGAGAGAAATTGTTAAGTGTTACGTTTTTATTAGACCTATTATTATTATCTATTATTTGACATAAGATTTTGAATAAGAATTTTTTAAATAAGAATTCAAAAGGTTAGAAACCGCTGACTGTTATTTTTGAGTCAGTCTAAAGATCAAAAAGTGGAATAGTCAATTGAGAAACCCGATTTTTTATCAGATGCAAACAAGCCAAAACCGTTGTATATAAAAGGAGAATATTTGCATGACATATAATCCACTTCACGTAACAGTTTCAACTTTTTGAGATTTACAACTGCTGAATTATGTGATGAAAGTTTAGACCAAATTTCGTTTCTAAATCGTTTAAAATCGTTTAAATTTCTGACCAGAACATTATAGATTGTAGATTCATAAGCCAAAATAACCCACTCATATCGACTGTTACCATTTTTGTCGCTTATCTCTGGTCCAATTTCTAATATGTACACTAAAAAAACAGCTGATTATTGCTGTTTAATTCAGATCATTATAATCCTAAAGAAATACGCTTAAAAAAGAACGGTAATCACAAACTGTTGCTGGTCCTTCTGGAACTCCTTGGACGTAGAAGCAGTTTTGAGTCAGAATTATCCACTCTGTAAGCAGTCAGATGCCGAAGAAATGCTTGACGTGACCAGGTATTTTTTTTGTAGATACTTAAGATAACAAAGTTGCCGATTTGCCCAAAATTGTAGATATTTGTTTTTGGTTTTGTAACTGGAATATAGATTTGAAAGTTAGAAGCCAGTAGCCTCTACAACAGTTGATACTCTTTAAGATCTT